AGACCTCCTGGGGAGCCTGTCCTGAGGGCCTGTTGGAGGGAAAGCCTCCCTGGATGCCTTTAAAGACTTGGTGAAGCAGCTGATGAACCAAACTGGGAAGGTCAGGGCATTCCCACTGAGAAGGGGGCGCTCTCCCCATAGGCCGTGCTGGGGTCACCTGGTCCAGCCTGTGTGCTGCGCACGGCAGGGTCGCCCTGGTGGAGACAGTACTGTGCATGCAGGAGTCTGGAGGTGAGCCCTGTGCCACCCTGCAGGGGCCCCAGGCAGGAAGATGGGAGCTGAGCCTGGACCCGATTCACAGCCTAGGCTTTGGCCGTGGATGCAGGGAGACAGGAGAGGATGGGTGGGGAAGGGAGGCAGGCTCACAGCTCAGGGTCAGAGTCAAACCTGGCTGGAGGTGGCCAGGCGTGTTGACGTGGATACTGTGATGGCCGCCCAAACATCCAGGTCCCCTGGGCACGGAGGCTCTCCCTCCCCAGCTGGGAGACACGCTGGCTCCTCATGAAGGCTCATGACAGAGGCCCTCCCCAGAAACTACCCTTGGAGACAGGATGCTGCCTGGCTCTGGGTCAAGCCTCTGGTGAGGGCACCCCACATCCAGGGGCTGGTCACTGCCGGGGTTGCCGAGGCCTGGACCCTGCGTCTGGATCCCACCACCTCCGGGAATGCAACATGCATTCTCATGCACTGCAGGATACAGCCTCAGGCCCCACAGGGTCACTTTCTGGGCTCTTTCCAGTCGCCCCTGCCTGCTCTACTCAGGGGTCCAGGGCAGAACTGAAATCCCTGGCCTCCAGAGCCCTGGTGCAACCGCCAGCTTTGTCTCCATCTTTACACCTTTGCAAGCAGTTCACTTGTTTCTTCTCTGCTTCTTCCTCTGTCCACCTGCCCCCACCCCACCTCCACCGGCACAGCCTCCAGACTGGATTTGTGGATTCCTGCTCGGTTAAGATTCCCGGAGTTTGGAAGGAGGTCCCCGGAGATGGACATCTGTTCTCTTGGCAACCACTGGGCCCTTTGTTTAGAGCAAGACCAGGTCTGAGAACCTACAAATCCTGGAGTTCTAGGGAGGAAGGGCAGATTTTTCCGCAGCTCCTGTCCATAGATGGATGAATTTAATTCTATCACCTTCTTTGGTGTTTTTCCTTTTTTTTTCCCCCACTGATCCTGCCTTTCTTTTTATCTCCTTGCTTGCCTTAGATTGGATTTTTAAAAATCACTTCACTGATTTTTCCTCTTTCAATCTGGAAACTTTCTCAGATTTTATTTTTTGGAGTTATTCTGAAAATTGCAACATGCAAACTTAATGTATTGGAGCTTAAAGTTCACCAAAATATTTTTCCTTCTCCCAGGTAATACAAACAATGTAGTGTATTTTAACCACTTCCTAGATCCTGGTTGGGATTTTCATTCTCTTTCTTTATCAGCTCCACTAGAAATATCACAACAAACTGTGGAAAATTCTTAAACAAGTGGAAATACCAGACACCTTATCTGTCTCCTGAGAAACCTGTATGGAGGTCAAGAAGCAACAATTAGAACTAGACATGGGGCAGTGGACTGATTCAAAATTATGAAAGGAGTACGTCAAGGTTGTATGTTGTCACCCTGCTTATTTAACTTCTATACGTCATGTGAAATGCCAGACTGGATGAATCCCAAGCTGGAATCAAGGTACCTGGGAGACATATAAACAACCTCAGATATGCAGAAGGTACAACTTTAATGGCAGAAAATGAAGAGGAATAAAGAGTTTCTTGATGAAAGTGAAAAAGGAGGGTGAAAAAGCTGGCCTAAAACTCGACATTTAAAAAACTAAGATCATGGCATCCAGTCCCATCACTTCATGACAAATAGATGGGGGAAAGTGGAAACAGTGGTAGATTTTATTTTCTTGGGCTCCAAAATCACTGTGGACACTGACTGCAGCTATCAAATTAAAAGATGCTTCTACTAGGAAGAAAAGCTATGACAAACCTAGACAATGTATTAAAAAGCAGAGACACCACTTTGCCACTAAAGGTCCATATAATCAAAGCTATGGTTTTTCCAACAGTCATGTATGGATGTGAGAGTTGGACCATAAAGAAGGCTGAGCACTGAAGAATTGATGCTTTTGAACCGTGGTGCTGGAGAAGACTCTTGAGAGTCCCTTGAACTGCAAGGAGATCAAAACAGTCAATTCTAAGGGAAATCAACCCTGAATATTCACTGGAAGGACTGATGTTGAAGCTGAAACTCCAATACTTTGGCCACCTGATACGAAGAGCTGACTCAGACTCACTGGAAAAGGCCCTGATGCTGGGAAAGATTGAGGGCAGGAGAAGAAGGGGACGACAGAGGATGAGATTGTTGGATGGCATCACCGGCTCAGTGGACATGAATTTGAGCAAACTCCCAGAGATAGGGAAGGACAGGGAAGCCAGGTGTGCTATAGTCCATGGGGTCCCAAAGCATCAGACACCTCTTGGTGACTAAGCAACAGCAACAAGAGAAATAATTATTGTCACTATGTCACTTGTATTTGCCCAGAGACACTCTTGCACTGAAGACCTTTCACAGGGGAAAGTCACCTCCTTTCCTTAGCTTCTCTTAAATTATGTTAATTGTCTTTAGTTCTCTGCAGGTTCACTTGATTTTTCTAGATATTTCTGTTTGTTTCTCGTATTTGAGATTGCTTTGACCTCTTGAGTCTGTGGATTAGACTTGGGAAAATTCTCACTCATGATCTCATCAAATACTTCCTGCTCTTCCTTTTCTCTTCTGCTTCTAGAACTCCCGCCAGACATACGCGTGCTCGTCTGACTATTCATGTGTTCCCCACTCTCCTGACCCTCCCTCCTGAGGCGTGGGCTGGTGTTTGGTCTGCATTTTGTTTTTTATTTTCCTTCTTGTGCACTAATTCTTTTTGTTTATCATCCATTCTGCTGCCAACTGTGTCTGTGGTTTTGTTAAATTTTTAGTCATTCCATGTTTCGTTTTTAGAAGCTCTCTGGTCCTTTTCAAATCTGCTCTGTCCTCTTTTATTATTATTTTTTTAAATTCCCTGAAGGTTTCCATCTTGTTGTTTGGTTCTTTAACCGTGGGGAGCGTGGGAAAGGTAAGTTCTCTGTCTGATAACTCCAGCACCAAGGTCTGTAAGGATAGCTTCTGCTCTCATAGATTTCTGTTCGTCTGCACGCATCTTGCTTATTTCCTTGTGTGGCCCTGCTGTGAACATTTACTCTTTGTGTGACTGTGCCCTCAGAGAGGTGCCAGCTGCCCATGTTCTTTAAAAAAAAAGAAAATGGAATATAATTGCTTTACAAAGTTGCTTTGGTTTCTATTGCACAGCAAAGTGAATCAGCTCTATAAGTACGCGTACCCTCTCTTGGATTTCCTGTCCTTTTAGGTCACCGCAGAGCACTGAGTACGGTTCCCTGAGCCACACGGTCGGGTCGGCTCTCGTTAGTTATCTATTTGATACATAATGTCAATAGTGTTCATATGCCAAGACCTGTCTCCCAATTCATCCCCCTCCGCCTTGATGTGCACGTGTCTATAGAGACCTGGATGGACCTAGAGACTATCGCACAGGGTGAAGTAAACCAGGAGAAAAAACAAATACCATGTATTATCCCCACATTCTGGTCTGACCGTTCTTGTCCCACCTGGGCCTGGAGCACTGATATGTATCAATACACAGTTTCTCAGGGATCACAGCCTCCAAAGGACCTGATGCTTTTCTGATCTCTGTGGGGCCTTTCCTTTAGTCTCCCGAGGTGGGGAATGGAAAGGCCGCGTCGGTGTTGGCCTCACACCGTCAAAATAGCCCAGGACGAAAAGAGGGGTCTATTTCTGAGGTCTTCGGGGTTTGTGATTCCGACTTCTCCAAGTAATTCCAGAACATGGCCTGGGGAACCCTATTGTCATTCATTCTTCTCTGCTTTTAAGGGGAAGTCTATTTTCTGAAGCAAAATATTGTTTTAATCAAAGTTTGTTGTTTTCAGTCAGAGTTAATCCCAATGATCCAGTCACCATTACTGGTAATACAATCTTCCATGTTGATCTTCCCTATTATTTGATATACTTTAATTCTGAAAGTGACTACCTTTTTAAAATTTTAGATTTTTTTTTTCCAGTCACACCTTTTATTTGCTTGTCTTTTGGGAAAAGCACAATATTTTGCTTAATTGCTTTTACTCATTTTTCAACTAGTCATGTAAATTACATGGAACACAGGGCAAATAAGTAAACTGTATTGAAAAAAGTAATTGTTCACTGATGTAAAGGAATGGAAAGGAAGAAAAATCCATCAACGTTGCAATCACATGAATATAGGTTTGAATCCTATCATCTTTATGAACATCAATTTATGCATTTACCCATAATATCACAGATCATGTACAAATAAAGTGAGTGGCAAAAGACTGAATCTGATACATATTTTATTTTTTTTTAAGTCAGGATTAAAAAGGCTTTATTCTGACTGTTATATAGTCATATTTCATAGATCAGTATTTTACTTTCTTCAAATCAGTAATTCCATTACACACCAGTCAGGATGGCTGCTATCCAAAAGTCTACAAGCAATAAATGCTGGAGAGGGTGTGGAGAAAAGGGAACCCTCTTACACTGTTGGTGGGAATGCAAATTAGTACAGCCACTATGGAAAACAGTGTGGAGATTTCTTAAAAAGCTGGAAATAGAACTGCCATATGACCCAGCAATCCCACTTCTGGGCATACACACCGAGGAAACCAGATCTGAAAGAGACACGTGCACCCCAATGTTCATTGCAGCACTGTTTATAATAGCCAGGACATGGAAGCAATCTAGATGCCCATCAGCAGACGAATGGATGAGGAAGCTGTGGTACATATACACCATGGAATATTACTCAGCCATTAAAAAGAATTCATTTGAATCAGTTCTAATGAGATGGATGAAACTGGAGCCCATTATATAGAGCGAAGTAAGCCAGAAAGATAAAGACCATTACAATATACTAACACATATATATGGAATTTAGAAAGATGGTAACGATAACCCTATATGCAAAAAAAGAAAAAGAGACTCAGATGTATAGAACAGACTTGTGGACTCTGGGAGAAGGCGAGGGTGGGATGTTTCAAGAGAACAGCATCGAAACACGTATATTATCTAGGGTGAAACAGATCACCAGCCCAGGTTGGGTGCATGAGACAAGTGCTCGGGCCTGGTGCACTGGGAAGACCCAGAGGGATCGGGTGGAGAGGGAAGTGGGAGGGGGGACTGGGATGGGGAATACATGTAAATCCATGGCTAATTCATTTCAATGTATGACAAAAACCACTGCAATGATGTAAAGTAATTAGCCTCCAACTAATAAAAATAAATGAAAAAAAAAAAAAAGAAAATTTACTTTGTCTGGTAAAAAAAAAAAAAAGATTTAGATATACAGCTATTGTGACTTGGTACCTTATATAATTTTCTGTTATCTAATGTATTTCATTATCTCTTTACATCCTCAATGAAGACATTTATCAAATTATGTTGACAAAAGCTTTGGGTCATCTAAAACTTTTTCTAGACTGTGTTCTTTGAAGGAAATGATCTCATAAATTGGATTACAATGGTATATGCGAAAGACATACTTTTCAATGATTAGTAGGAAAGGTATATGACTGTATCACTGTCTTCTATATTACTCTGTGAATTTGTTTCTTTTCTTTTTTTTAAATTTGTTTCTTTAATATTGTTATTGGGGAAAAGATATTTGTATTACAGATATTATTATTTATACACTTGATGAGTTAAAGTACATAAGATATTTAAAATTTTAGATTTTAAATGAAAATTTTATATTCAATTGTAAATTACTTTAAATTAATGTAAACGTGCATATGAAAGGATATTCTCTATAAATACCAAGTATAAAAAATTGCCTATTGATTTCCAGTTGTATAGTGATGTCTTATCAGCCTATTTTAGAATCTTTTCTGTGTTCCTGGGCTTCCAAACATTTCAAAAATATAAAGACATTTAATGCCACAAAGGAGAAATCTGAGGCCAACCTCACTTATTCTCTGTAAGCAAATTCTTTTCAATTTTGATTTTGTTTCCTGCATGCACACTTGTCACATTTCTTATTTATCCTTAAAACTTGAGGCTATTATCAGTGTATTTCTATGGGGTTTTATTTTGTGCAAATCCAGTTTTGCTAGTGGAAATCCATTTCAGACTTTAGATTCAAGCTTTTTTCCCCCCTCCATCTTTAGGAAGATTTATTTTGCTTCTGTTCCATTTATCCTGGCCTTTTCTTCATGAAAAGCAACCATCTCCATATCCCATCTCCATTCTCTGCCCTTCTCATCTGTCATATTCTCTCTCATGATATTAATTATTTTGTTCTTCTTCCCTCACTCCTTGGAAGGTCATAAATCCTTTCTGGATCTTATGCTTACTTGCTAGATCACTTGCCTCATTTAGAGCCTCAGGTCTTGTTTTGTTTCATGTCAATATCATTTCTTTTCTTTAATTTGTTCTTCATTGACTCCCTTTGAATTATTCACTGCCTCACATCCTATTGGTTATTTATTCATTCTTCATCTCTTGTTTCTGAAACTTCTTTTCTTATTTTATAAAGGTATTTTTGAGAACTCCAATAGGTGTTCTTCAACTTTACTGAAGTTTTATTTTTGTAAGCTTTTCTTTTTTTTAACATAGTTTTCCTTGTTTTTGGATATCACAGAATCTCTGGGTTTTGTTTAATTCTTCTTTTATTTTTTAATGCAGAAATGTCTCTCTAGGTGTGGTTATGGCTATAAAGAGAAGGGGTGGATTCTACCTTCCCTGTGCTTGTGCTACTATTGATATAATGCTCATCTCATCTATTGAGCCAGAACATTAGCAGACACAATTGTGTTCTAAGAGATCAGCAGCTCCACCCTGAGGGATGGAGAGGAAGCCCTGGGCAGTCCCAGAAGACAGATCTTTCCTTGAAGATTCCTCACTCAACTCATCCATTTATTTGCTCCCTTACCTAGAGCTTTGCCAACAAAGGTCCGTCTAGTCAAAGATATGGCTTTTCCAGGAGTCATGTATGGATGTGAGAGTTGAACTATAAGGAAGGCTGCTGCAGCTCTTGGGGTTGCAAAGAGCTGGACACGACTGAGTGACTGAACTGGAACTGGAGTGTCAAGGAACTGATGCTTTTGAGCTGTGGTGCTGGAGAAGACTCTTGAAAGTCCCTTGGAGTGTAAGGAGATTCAATCAGTCCATTCTAAAGGAGATCAGTCCTGAATATTCATTGGAAGGACTGATTCTGAAGCTGAAGCTCTAATACTTTGGCCACCTGATGCAAAGAACTGACTTATTGGAAAAGAACCTGATGCCGGGAAAGATTGAAGGCAGGAGGAGAAGGGGACGACAGAGGATGAGATGGTTGGATGGCATCACTGACTCAATGGACATGAGTTTGAGTATGCTCTGGGAGTTGGTGATGGACAGGGAAGCCTGGCATGCTGCAGTCTGTGGGGTCGCAAAGAGTCAGACACAACTGAGGACTGAACTGAACTGAACTGAACTGATCTAGAGCATTGATTCTGCACCATTTTTGGACAGAGTGACTCACTTGGTGCTGAGCTTTGAAATGAGACAGATATGGCTCCTGACAGTGTGGAGCTTATATTGCAGTAGAAGAAACAAATTAAAAAAAATAACTATTTACATAATTCGTGTGTGTGTGCATGTGTGTGGGTGTGTGGGCATGTGTGTGTATGTGCATGCGTTTAGTTGCACCATCCTACATACAGGATCTTAGTTCTCTGACCAGGGATTGAACCAACACCCACTGCATTGGAAGCATGAAATCTTAACCCCAGTACTGCCAGGAAATTCCTTGTAATTTGTTTTTATAATTCAGTAGTTCATGAGAGCTACTATAGCTCAGGGTAGGCTTTAGTACCTTCCTCTCTGCCAACTTCTGCTCCTAAACGATGTGTGAATTCCTGATGGAAACAGAATTCCTTCAGTGACATCTTGGTGCCACTTATATGCTGTCTGTTGCTTCAGCTACCAGTCCTCTCCTCTGCTGACTTTGCTTAGTTGAATAAACCATGGGTCCTTCCAGGAGGGCATTTGCTAAATTGTGATCTGCATGAGAGAGATTCCTTCTCTCTCATGTGCACTGTGGAGAGATGGAACGTGCCCTGTGTGTGCAAGCGTGCCAGCTCCTGTCGAATGCAAGGATCGTGGGAGGGTAGGATGCACATCTAGTTTATTTACTATTTTTAGTCTCCTTTTATACTTCGGCAGGGGCTTCCCTATTAGCTCAGATGGTAAAGAACCTGTCTGCAATGCAGGAGACCTGGATTTGATGCCTGGGTTGGGAAGATCCCCTGGAGGAGGGTGTGGCAACCCACTCCAGTATTCGTGCCTGGAGAATTCCATGGACAGAAGACTCTGGTGGGCTACAGTCCATGGTATCACAAAGAGCCAGACAGAACTGAGTGACTAAGCATAGCACATACTTCAGCAGTGTTTCAGTGAGATGAGTAATTAGACACCTGTGCTGAGATCACCACTTTGCTCAAAAAAAATTCTAAATTTTAAAAAATGTGTGGGCATGCAGACACTTTCCATATTATTACTAAAAGACAGTGACTCTTCAATTGGAAGATTTCTAAGTGTTGTACTGAGTCCAGCTAACTCCAGACTCTGATTTCCCCTTCCTTTCCTCAACTAGCCCCTTTCCCCTTCTTCCCGGGTCCCAGTTTGCTCTTTCACACCAGGAGGACAGTTGATCTGGGTATTAAAGTGAGAAAGGGTCTTGAGCATTATGCAGCTTACATAAGAAAGAACCTCCATCAGAATGAAGATGCTGTGCTGGGGGAGCTGGAGAGGAAGAGAAAAATCAGAAAAGGCAGAAATGTGAGAGGAGACAGAGTGATGAGAGCTGGAGCCAGAGGTAGCGCCTGGGAGGAGAGAGAGCGGAGAACAGTGGTCCAGGGTCCGTATTATGCAGAAGGGCTCCCGAAGGAAGCAGCGGCCTCTTCAGCTCACACATCTGTGCTGATACTGCATGGGACCTGGGGCAAGGCCCCACAGTCTACGGTTCTGAGGATGGATTGCTTTGGACCCTTGGTTCTCATTTCTGGCATGATTTCCAGATACCGGATAGTAACGATGCCCATGTAAGTGTTGTGCTTTCCCCCTTTGCTTGATTCTTTGGCAGTGCTTCATGCTGTGACAAGGAGGATATATTTTTCATTTGGATGCCTCACTTTTGTCAGTTCTGTGACCTGACATTCCTCCCTGGCATTCACAGATGCTGATATTTATTCTGTAGAAATTATAAATTTTGAACCACCTCCACTTTCAGTGTGACAAGTATTCATTGTGCTCTGATAGGAAATTTTTTTGGGGGGGTTTATTTGATAAGAATGTTCAGAGGGAAAAAAAACAGAAAACAAAACATGTCCTAGAATCTATCTACTGTTTTTCTGGTACCATCTGCTCAGCCTCTCTTGGGGGGCTTCTGGGTGTGGCTTTGCAAAGTTTATGTAGATAGAGAGGGTAAATGGTACAAGGGGTGGCCTTGGTGGTCTCTCCAGTCATGTCTAACTGCTCAGGGTCTCCTGTCCCAGACTGGGGAGCAGTGAAAAGATGTATGATGTTCATGGGTACTTGGAAGAGCGCTGGGCACCTGTGGTCAGTGGGGTTTACTCTAGTCCCGGGGAGGGGGGCAGTGCCCTCTTCCACAGCTGTCTGCTATCTTGCAGTGTGCGTCACAGTCTGGCCGTGATGTGTGTGGATTAGTGAAAGCCACTCTCACCTGGATTTCCCTCCAAAATAGGTCTAGACAGAGAGTCAGAAAGTTCAGGGGCTCCTGCAGACACTGACACCTTCCTCCACTACTCGGTCTTGTGGGGAGGGTCCTCCCAGACCTCCCCTCACCTCCATTTCTTCATCTATATGAATGAAGCAAGTTGTTGGGTAATTTCTAAAACTCTGATCTGCCTTACCTCCAGGTTTTGCCCCAGACAAAGGCATGTTTGGTATTAAGTTTATATCACCATTTCTTCATGACAAAGGAGACTTAGGAAAATTTTGGCATGATTGGCAAGGATGGTTGTAGGGCTGATCTGTAGACAAAGCCTGCTTTCCACTTGGGGTCACCGCTCAGCAGGACACATCAAGTCCATACACCACAACTACTCTGTAAGGAGGTTTGAGCAGCAAAGAAAGCACAGAGAGACAGAAATTAAATCTATGGAAAATAGAAAAGGCAGCTGAGAAGGAAAATCAATTACAGTCCAACCAGAGTCGTGTACAACTTACCTGTTCCCTTGATGAGGGACTTTCT